CTTTAATTTTTTTTATTTATTTATATTTTCTTCATTTTTTTAGATTTTGTTTTTCTTTTCTTGGCTTCTCAATGATTTTTGAACAATTTTTTCAGAAAAATTGTTTTTGTTATTTTATTTTTTTCATTTTTTCTTATTTTATTTTTGACCGGGAGTACCCCGAGGCCAAACACAAGGCAATTCTAAAAATATTTTTATCCCTATTTTATTTATTTTTTTCATGTGTATTTTATTTTTTATTTTATTTTTTCAATATTTTCTTTCCTTCATGCTTTCTGACCAATTTTTTCAAAAGATAATTTTTATTAGGTATTTTGTTTTATATTATTTTATTTTATTTTTCTTTCTTTTTTATTTTTTCTTGGCCTCTTAATGGTTTCTGAACATTTTTTTCAGAAAAATAGTTTTTGTTGTTTTATTTTATTTTTTAATTTTTACTTATTTTATTTTTGACCGGGAGTACCCTGACGCCAAAAACAAGACAATTCAAAAAATTATTATTATTCCCATTTTATTTTTTTTATTTATTTTATTTTGTTTCTATTTTTTCTTGACTTCTTAATGCTTTTTGACCAATTTTTTCAGAAAAATAATTTTTATTGTTTTATTTTATTGTTTTTATCTTCTCTTACTTTTTCATTTTTCTTTTTTAATTTTTTCTATATTTTCTGGAAAATTTTGTAACTCCTTTGCCCCTAAGTCCATCGCCGTCTTAGTCATACCCATCGACTAATTTGTTTTTATTTTGTTTTATTTTTTCCATTTTATCTTAGCTTCTTAAGGGTTTCTCTACAATTTTTTCAGAAAAATATTTTTTATTATTGTGTTTTATCTTGTTTTATTTATTTTCCTTCGTTTTTCTATTTTTTTTTCATCTTTTTTATTTTTTCTGGCCTTAATGGTTTCTTCTGAACATTTTTTTCAGGAAAATAGTTTTTGATCTTATTTTATTTTTTTTAATCTTGTTATTTTATTTTTGACCGGAAGTACTCCGAGGCTAAAAACAAGATAAATAAAA